GCATCAGGAAAAAAGGAAAAAAAAAAGAAATTATACAGCATTAGAGGGAGGGATAATAATTTTATTAACGAGTTTACTGTTATACTGTTTATTTTTATAAATGGCCTTATCCATTTTGTTTACCTAAACATGTGTTCTTAAAAGTTAAATTGTTTATTTATTTTCCTTGTCTTTCCTTTTGCTACCTATAGAGGAAATATTCTTTTCCTCCTGATTTTTGCTCATATAACTTCCAGTTTGGCTTTAGCTTATCTAGCTCCAAGTAATGTCTCAATGTTCCTCTCAAGCAGCTTCCAACTACCACTTTCTGTGTACATGGAATGAGACATTTAACTGCATTAGCACACTAAGCATGAAAAAATGTTATGTATATAATGTTAATATATAAGCATGAAAAAATATGTCTGTGCTTGTCAGCTTGGAATCCATCAAGTACTAAAGCAACTACATATCTCTGGGGTTGGGAGCAGCCAGCTAGGAAACAGGTGAATTAACATATTTATGCCTGTACCTGATTATAAATTTACCTCTTTATTTAAATAAATAACTACAAATAAGCCAAATCAAGGTGAAATTCACCTGAGACTTCTAAAGAGACTAAAATATGACATTGCTGAGGCAATATCAGTTCAGTGAGCAATCTTTGAAATGGACTTGCAAATTCAATAGAAATTCTGAAAGGAAACGTGAGGGGAATTTGCCATGTAGCCCTGCAAAATAATACTGTCACTTCTAGCAATAGACCATAAATATCCAAATTCAGGTTTAAGATCAATACATGTAGCTTTTCAGTATTCTAAGAACAAAATGTAATCATATACTGATAAAATATTAAAGTTTTTAATGGCTTTCTCTACAGGTAACCATCAAAAATGCAACGTAGTTCATCTCATTGGTGGAGGCATTTTTGCTCTAGGTGGGTCAATGGACAATATTCACTGATTATAGATGGAATCTAGACAACTTGTTTAGACTAGATTATTAACTTTTATGTTGCTAAGATACATCATACTGAAATAGACCATTTTCATTGTCTCTCACTACCCTATCCTGATATTTTATATATGTATATAAAGAGAATGAATGACACAGCCATCTGAAATGTC